TCTGTCTGAGTCCACCCCTAGAACACACATCCAGCCACCAGGAAAATTCCAACACATTTGTAAGTCACAGCACAATGAAAGCCAGTTGGCTCCAATTTTACCAAATTAAATAACATGGTACAGAATATGTTGTGAGTCTTCCCTAAACTTTTGTAGCTTGTACTTTTGGGAGAGTCAATTAACTTAAATTTTACATTTTAAAATTCTTAAGTTATATTTAAGAAATATTGCAACATCATTACTACCTCATTATAAAGGTTTGTAGCCCAGCTGCATGCTTGACTAGATTGTTGGTCGAGCAAAGCAGGAGAAACTGTATTTTAACAAAATTAATTAACAGCCTTGCCAAAACATACCCCCTCTTATTTCTCAAATCAAGGAATACTATGTGGAGCCTGACACCTGACAGGCTTAAATATTTGGTCACAAATCCTCTGAAGTACAGAAAAATGTTTTCAAAGACCTTCTAAAAAACAGTTTGCCTGTAAGCTGTGCTCATTTTTCCTTTGATACACACAAATTTAGAGCTAATACAGCTTAGATTCACAAGCAGCCTTTTTTCATAACAGTATCATAGTCATTCATGAACTCAGATCCACACAATTAGCTAAACAGAGTATTGCCTCTTGCACAGTATGCAAATACATATGGAAAAAAAGGAGACAATTTTTATATAATGGTACATTTATTACAGCAAAGTAATAGGAAGCCTGAAGAAAATTACATTTAAAGCAAACTTAAGTGGCTAAATTGTAACCCCAGGAGGTAACACCGACCACAAGAACAACCTCTGAGAGTATGACATGAAAGGTCCTCTGTCACATGCATCCATCTCCTCGGCATCATGTGGATGTAATGGCTTGCCTCAGATAACCCAGGCATGACCAACCTTGGTCCAGTTTGTTGCTGTTATCTTGACAGCAGATGTCACATGAAGGGAAAGTAGCTAAGACATGTCACTGTACAAGTTTTGCTGGCTATCACAGTACACCTGTGATAATTACATTATTTTCACAAAGGAGGTTGACTTCTCCGTGGTTGTGTAACCCTCTCTCCCGGTAGCCCCTGCTGAAGGCTCTCCAGTGCTTACCTGCCTGTACACCAAGCATCAGTTCTGATACAGCACAGCTCTGTACCCTTGACTCAAGACTGCTGAGAAAGAGCTGCGGGAGAAGTCTGTAGAAAGGTAAAAATTGTAAAAATAAAGCCCCTGTTAAGACAGGGGTTCTTAGTAGCTCAAGAATTCAAGAGGGCAAACACCAATTTGGAAGGTATAAAATCTTAAAGGAAAATAACAAAACAAAACAGGGAGGCTAGTTGGTCTAACCCTCCTCCTCCTGCCTGGTGGCTGCCTGGCTAAGAAAGACTCCCCAAATGCCTTATGAGGGTGGTGAGAATTTAGCCTAATAGCTTGTTAAATTCAGAATGTCTTTTGTGTGTAGTGACCAATTAATAGTTACTTTATACTTTTACATTTTATATATCCTGCTTGCAGAATCTCTTTGTGCCCAAATAAAGATGCCCAAAGAAGCTGGTTCAAAAGAGGGGTACTAACCGTAGGCATCATATAAAAGCAAACAAAGAAGTACCAAGGAAGACAGCCTTCATCAGCTGACAGTGAAGCCCAAACTTTTCAGTAGCTGTGCATTGGATTTCCATGTGAACACCATCACTGCCTTTAGGGGAAGGGTCTGCTTTTGATTTCCTGAGATATTTCATGGAAGTTTGTGTGTCATGCTGTTTGCAGACAGCATGTGCCATCTATTTTTTTCTCAACATTTACTAACCTTGGATTGCATGCAGACCAGAAACTGTTCCCAAATATTGTATCTTCTTGTTCATTATTGGTGTAGCATGTGCTTTGGATATCCCTGGCAAAGTGAGCTTTTATATGAAACTGGGCGATTAAAAGTTGGTTCAGCCCAGTAACTGCAGTGTGACAAGACCCTAATGAACTTCTAGCTTAGTACTCTCAGAACAGTCCATAAACAAGGAGTCAGCTCAGACACCGAATAGCTGCTGAGCTCTACAAAGTCATTTAAACATCCTTGCACTCTT